AACATTGCCAGATTCCAGCGTGGACCCTTCCAAGGCTGACTTGCAACATGTCTTTTGTTTCAAGCATGGCTTGAAGCACTTGAAACTCGGAGATCAGCTGAAAGCGGTGCGCCTCTTACAATTGGCGCCAATACTTGCTTGGTCCATGTTTCCTTCATTAACCAGCGGTATGTGCCAAAAGTAAAGAATATGTAGGGGGCCCCCATGTGAACATGACTGTCAGCCATCTTTGGAAGAAAACATTTCGACCAGATCCGATATATGTATATATATATATATATACCTGCTATATTTACAACTTGTTGTATAGCTCTATATATATATATATCATAGACCTGCCACTTAGTCCTAGCTGCTGTGAGCTTGTGTGCCCAATTGGAACCCAGAAGTGCAGGCCCAGAGGCGGAGGCGAGATTCGGCCGAGCAAAAATGACGCGATTTTGCAATTGGATGGCCTTGGTGCAAAGATCTCACGCTTTGCTTCAGGTGAATTTGGTGGTGACATTGGTGGCGATAGCTATTCCTTCTCTTTGCCCACTGATTCCAAGCTCCGGGCGGATGACATCATGGGACGAGGTGGGGCAGGAGTGTGGAATTGAGAAGATGTCGGACCCAGTGACTTGAGCGTGGGGACGAAGCGGGTGACCACAGCAGATGAATGTGATTTAAAACGTCTGGCAGGCACAGCTGGAGCAGCAGGCCGCGCGAAAACTGAGGGGTCGTCGAAGCCTCGGACTGGGAGGACGCCGACGAGACCAGGTGTTGGTGTTGCCTGTTTTCTCAAAGAAACTGCCGTCACCGTTCCGGCAACTTGCAATTTCAAGGGTTCTTGACTTCTCAAGAAGGCAAGTCACTGTTCATTTGGATTTCATGTGCGCAGCACTGCAGATTTTGGGAAGCTTCCGAACTCGTCGAGTTGCATGCCGAGGCCCAAACCTAAAGCAACCACAGCGGTGGCGAAGAGTGCAGCCACAAAAGCAGCTGCCAAGGGTTGCCTGGCATCAAAGCTGTCCAAGCCTGCCGGTTGGGTTTCGAGGATTGGTACAGGATAACCACCTCAGCAGGTGCGGTATCCTGGATGACCTAGGCATGGTGGATATGGGCCCTGCAAGGCACAAGACCTTTTCCTCAATTTAGTCTAGTGTGAGATGATTTGGCGGTGCTCGATGGCCTGGAGGCTCTCATTCCACTGATCACCGAAGCAAAAGGACCCCTGGGTTTAGCTGAGGCACCCTGCGGAAGACCACAATAGATGCAGGATTGGATGATCGATTCAGGCTGGGCCGGCGGCCAGCTCGTCGCGAGATGAAGCATGGGAGGCACGGAGATACCTGCAGATTAGCAGCTTTAGCATGGGAGGCCTCCAGGTTTTGAACATGGCCATACTGCTTTCAGCAAGCACCATCGCCACTAGGTTGAAGGCCACCGCTTGCAGGGTGGAGGCCATTGCTATTAGATTGGAGGCCATCGCTACTAGGTTGGAGGCCATCGCTACTGGAGCAAGCACAATGGCCCCATTATATTTTGGGACCCTTGACGCCTGCTCACATGACTCACATGATTCAATTGCTTTGGGAGCTCGCCCCCTGCGCGAGTGACATATGTAGGGGTGAACCAAGGAACCGTCACATTCAGCTTCTCCATTCTTTCACCTTGAGGTTGGTCTCCTCCACATTTCAAACAGCTTGGCTGCTTCCACGAGGCTCATGGGCAAAAAGGCTCCCACCACATCGGCTCCAAGTGCCTCTGACTTTGATGCCTTTCTGGAGGACATCCGGTCGCGAGCCAGAGAGTCACAGAGTCAGCATGTTGGGATGGGATGGGGACCGTGGGTAGAGTTCAACTTTGGAAACTGAGCCCTGCCGCATTCATCCCTTCCAATATGATGGTCCGTGCGACGCCTCTGCAGGAGAGTGACTCAGATGAGGCCCCGAAGCCCAAGGCCAAGGCGGAGGCCAAGGCCAAGGCGCCTCAGCGACTCCAAACTGTGGAGTCGCCTGCGAGCAGCCCAGCGGCCTCGCCAGCAGGCCAGGCCAAGCGAGTTCATGCAGGAGATGAATGGGAGTGATCATCCATCAGTCCGCTCACTGAGGGTGGGACATTTTCTGTTTAGCCTCGACGTTGACAGATTCCCAATAGTATGTTTAACATCCTTTCAAAACCACAACGGCAGCACCACCTGCCAGGTTCTTCAAAGCCAGCAGTGCTGTCACGCTCGCCTGCCAAGATGTCCAACTTCGCCAAGACCTCACCTCGCCCCAAGTCACAGCCAGTCGATGCCTACACTTCACCCAGCCAGAGTGCCTCACAGGCCCTGTCACCTCACGGCAGTGGCTTCGCCTCCCAGTCACCTTCCCCATCCCAGCCCGGGACAAGGTCCCGCTCCGCGTCCCGCTCCGCGTCCCGCTCCGCGTCCCGCTCCGCGTCCCGCTCCGCGTCCCGCGCCGCGTCCCCCTCCGCGTCCCGCTCCGCGTCCCGCTCGCGGTCAGCGTCGGTGCCATCGGTGCACTCGTCCGACGCCTCGGGACGAATGCCCAGAACTTTCGGAAAAGTTCTGCAGATGAGCGACTTGGTGATGCCACAGCCTGCCAAAGCTGCAGGTGCGAAGTTGGTTGAGCCTGCATTTCTTTTCATTTTGCCCACAGTTTTCCCAACACAGCCCTGAACCAGCTGCCAGGCTTGCCAGCCAAGGCTGGAGACTGAATGGTGGCTAAGAGAAAAGCTTTTAGGGATGGTTGGAATTTATAAGAATGTCCATGTCATTCATGTCGCTACATGCCCTTCAGTCCCCTCGACCCACAAACAGAGTCGCCTTGTGGGCACCTGCAGGCTGCGAGCCGCTCAGACTCTGGAGAGAACTACACAGAGGATGGGTGCCTGATTTGGAAAAAAACATAGTGCCGCTGGGGTGCCTTATCTTCTACTTGATCGAATGGTTTAACCGATCATGCACTGAACGTTCAGTACAGAATCAATGTGAACGAAGTGGCAGGATTTCTCCGCTGACAGCGCCAGTGTCCCTCCAAGAAAAAGACCGTCTGTGAGCTATGAAGATGACTTTGAGGCTAGCACTTTGAGCCTGATAAGGGAAGGGAGAAGTGCAGTCTATGCTATGCTGCACATTTGCAAGTGTCCTTTTGGCTGAAGTTTAAAACGATCAATATATATATATATATACACAGTACACATACTGAGTGCATACACTCCATATGATATGTATACGTACATGTTTATCCAAATGTATATGTATATGTATGTGTACGTGTATGTGTAAATATTAATATTATATAGTATACACACCTTTTGTTTGATACATTGTGGCGGTAGTATGTGTTGGCGTTTGCACTTGCAAGGCTTCTAGCGTCGGCAGCCCCACTGCCCAACTGAACACCCCAAGGCCTGACCGGCCAGAGGTGAAAGCCACCACATCACCAGCTGTGCCAAAGCCAGCTTCACCAGCAGTGGCAGTGAAGACTTCGCCTAACCCAGTGAGCCCAACATCACACGCTTCCTCGAAGATCTCCAAGGCACCAGCAGCTGCCCCAGCTGCAGCACCACCAGCGAAAGCCCAGGCACCAGCCGCACCAGCCGCACCAGCCGCACCAGCCCTGTCGCCGGTTCTGGTGCCAGCTCTGTCAGTAGTTGTAGCACCAGCTCCATCGCCAGGTCCGTCACCGGTTGTTGCACCATCTCCATCGCCGGTGGCAGTCCCAGCTCCAGCACCAGTTGTAGCCACGCCTCCACCACCTGCTGTTACCGCAGCTGCACCGCCACAACCCATGCCGGCCGCCTCGCCGCCTTTGCAAACCACACTTACCAGCCCAGCTGGACCAGGGCAACCTGTGGCGCCTGCACAGGTCTCCGTGGCAGCTCAGCCAGTTCCAAGGCGTGGAATTTCTGTGGAACCATGTTGAACCGATCATATGCGTTTCTGTTTTGCTTGTTGCACACTTTGGTGACTGTGGTGGTAGCTTGCTGCACACTTGGTCGTGATTCATACTTCACATGCCGCAGGAGCGCTTGGGAAGAGGACCCGGGCTTGAGTTGGAGAAGAATCTAGGGACTTTGGTTGCCAGACATGGGATGAGTCTGAAAAGAAGTTTTACTGCAGTTCCATCCTAGGGAGTACTCTCTCTAGTTATATGTTGGAAGGCCTCGCAACCTGGATTGAAGATCAGGAGCAGAAGCCCCCGCGCCAGACCCGTGATGTAGATGTGCAGGTGTCAGCTCTTTTTGCTCGTTTTCTTGCGCAATCTTTTGGACTTCATGTCTCATGTGTTTTTCTTCCATGCTCTGACTTGCAGAATTGAACGTGGTCAGGTCAACATCCCTGTGGATGTGGGTGTGCAGTGTGATTTGCTGGTGGACCCAGGCATCAGGAACTGGACCTTGATCCACGGATTTCCGGCCTCAAAACCGGGTTGGCCAGGCTGGACCGGTCCAATACCACCCCCGGGCGTCTCTGCGCCGGGTTGGGCGTGGAGCTCAGGGAATTCGGACGCCATCATTGTACAAGACGTGGACATGTCGGACCAATGCCCATCAATGCCCAGCCCTGGTTCATCTAACAGAAACGAATGAACTGGAGGCTTTCTATGGCAGGGACTCTTCCACATCAACCTTGGCCTTTGAGGCAGAGCACTTGAAAGGCATGCCCCAGCCGCCACAGGTGCGAATGCAAAGCTTGAGGACGCGACGTGGCCATAGATGATTGGAAAGTAAAGGATACAGAGATACCTTCCCACCTGGTTGATAAATAACAAAAACCCTGTAGATTCTGTAGATGGTGCTTGTTGTTCATCTCTTCTTGTCAAAGCAGCTGCGTCATTTCCCGTGATCAGGCACCATCATATCCATGGTGGCCTTATGGATTTCCCTACGGCTGGCCGCAATGGGCTTAGCACCTTGAAGATGACTTGCAACATCCTGAGCCTTTTTCGATGTTTGCCGTTTCACTTCCCAGAGCCTTGAGGACTTTGCCATTTGAACCGTTCGCATTCTCCAGAGTGGTTTGGTTCAAGGCACTTTCGGTGGCATCAGGTAGACTGACTGGGAGCCATCTGCCCCACCGCAGCAGCACAATAGCTGCAGCTGGGCGCAGGTGCCTCCTGAAGCAGGGGAAGTCTCCTGCTTTCAGGTTATCTCGGGCGTTTGGGCGACGATGTCCTTTGGACACGAGAGCTTCGTGCTTTGCGATGCTGGCACCTCCGGGTTCCCAATCCTGCATGCCAGCGAGGGCTACAGAGAGCTCTATGGAGCAGAGGACAGGTGTAGAGACCTGATGGACATGCTTCAGATGAAAGACAGCACTACGAAGGCTATCGAGGACGGGAGTCCAAGATTTGCAGGGCAGTCACAGCTGCCGCGCCTTATGATTTCTTACTACTGTAAGTCCTTTCTCTCCAAGCCTGTATTCATGTCTCTAGGCCGCCGCTTGTGGGGGTTTGAGATTTGGATCACTCATCTATGCTGTGTCATGCCTTGTTGGATTACCAGTTCATGACTCTTCCCGTTCTGGCCATGAAGCACGTGAGATGACGTGAGGGCATCAAAGCAGCATGTGAGACATTGAGCCAACGACATTGCTCCCAGTTTTCCAGTCAGATTGTTCGTTTGTTTACATTTCTGCGCTTCGCTGTTGCAGGAGGCAGAACTGCAGGGGCACCAAAGAGCAGAAGTGGAAGCGGCACTCAAAGTGATTGCGGGTGTGGCCACTGATGCCCTTGCAGCCATTGCACAGCAGGGCCTTGACTTTCCTCTCCTTTTGGTGGATCTCAATGGCTCTGGTCAACTATTCAGTTGCGAAATTAGTTTGGTTCAAAAGCGCCACCCCGAGCTGGGCTGGTCATATTTGGTCGGCTTGCAGAGGAACGCCGCCGTTCCAGTGATGCAAGTGTTGGAGGCGGCGATTCGAGGTCGGGACAGCTACACCACACTTTGTCGCAATTCCTGCTCGGCCTTGCCTGATAGGAGTGGTTGGGCAGAACAGGTGGATGACCACTGTCATGCCGTGATGACCCACGTTTGGCGAGCGGCTTTGTCACAGAAAATAGCTGACACATCATGCAAGACCAAGATCCAGGAGCGTTTCATGCAGTTGCTGTTAAATGTCATCAAGTCTTAGCACAAAGAAAGTAGAAGAAAGTCAAGGTATGTGAATGTCTCACTTTGGTGCTGGTGCATGACATTCTCCAGCGCAGGACTGTGAAGTGAAGACCCTGGCAAGTGTGAGCACCGCATGTTCCATGTCCAGCCTTATGAAAACCGGGAAGCTGTCGGGTGAAGCTGTCCATCCGTGGAACCCCTCATGCTTTCACCTTGGTGCCATTGCTCAACACGTTCCTGTACAGCCAGTTCTTGATGCTCGGCAGAAAAGCTTCTGGGTCCGGGTGGATCTGGGCGCTTCGCGTTGTTGACTCCTTCCATTTGTCCAGGACAGTGGAGACCTTGAGTCGGATGTCGACTGTCACTCTCAGGAGGCCGCTCGAACGAATTTTGCTTGGGCTTGAGCAGCTTTCGCAGGGTCAAAACATCTTTGGTGTAGGGCGTCTTAGAAGGTCTCACGGTGTGTTTATCAACCCACCATTCTGTCAGACTTGGCGCCCTGCATGCGGGAAGCCTTTTAAGGTGTTTTTCCCCCATGTGCAGGACTCGGTGGAGCCCCTTGAGTGTGCGGCACTGGAGGTGTTGCCCTTCCAGATGTTCGTTCTAGATCCTGCGCATCTGACCCTTCCGCAGCTGGCCTGATGAAGGTTTTTTTTGCACCGGTTTTCGGGGCGGGCTCTGCTAGTGGCCTGCCACATCGCCGTACATGCGAAACATTGCGAAACCATTTGCTCATCATGGAACGAGTAACATCGAGTAACTATGGGCTTCCTCGCCCTTTGCATGCCAAGGATTGTCCTCTGCACACAAAGCTTGAACAAGGCCGCAGAGGATGAATTGCAACTTGTCCTTGCACATGTTGCACGGGTTGCACGGCAACTACTTGGAGTTCTTGAGAGTTTGGGGAACTCATTCGGTTGTTCGGAAGCAATGGCTATCTAGCCATGATGAGGGGTGCATGGCACTGCTGTGACCGAGGATGTTGCGCAGTTTCGACTCCATCTTCATGAATGCTCGACTCGCCGGGGACGGCCTAGGCCTTTTGGATGCTCAGGACGGAAGTTGCTCCTTCGGAGTCTGGAGCGCAAAACAAAGGTTTAATTCAAACGGTTGGTCTTGAGTGCAACCAACCCTGGAAACAACCTTGAATGACGGTCGAACCAACTGTAGCAAAGCTCATGTGCAATGGCTTGGCTCACAGCTCCGCTGCGCAGGCCTCCTCCCGGTGCTCTGAACTTTCTCAGTTCTGGGCCTCCGCCCGCACGGGGGAGTTTCATCACATCATTGAATCTCAAGTGTCCTGGCTGATTTCAGCTAAGGTTTGGAACCTCGAAATCCCTGGAATTCATGCGTCGTGCATGCATCAAAAGCAACAACGGTGGGCTCAGTCAAAAGGGGAAGACAATGAATTCATTCAACTTCCAGTGGGCATAGGCAGGGCTGGGGAATCAGACATGTTGAATAACACTTAGGCCGCGCTAAGGCCCTTTCACTAGGACGCTCATGAGGTCGCAAGCGGCACTTGGGTTTGCAAGTTGCAGAACCATCACCCAAAGAAAAGCCAGCATACTTTGGGCTTGACCAGGGTTGCCTTGTAGATCAATGTAGTCAGTAGTCTCCAGATCTCATTTTGAAAAATGCAGCATGACATGAAGCGATGGGTATTGCCGTACGAGAGCGTGTGATCCGCAGCATACTTGCGGCTCAGACTTTTTTCGTTTTAAACATCAGCCGTTTTGGAGTCTGTGTCATATCATGTTTTCTTCCATGTGGGTGTGTATTTTACTAGGGAGGTAGACTACGGTAGACTGTGGACCTGGTCTATTTACTATCTTCCAGGGGGTGGAACTGGCAGGCCTCCCTATTGTAAGACACACACACACGCCACTTCCTAAGGACTTCACGCCTCAAGGTGAGCTTCTCGCTTACGCAGACCTCTTGGGCAAAGGAGGCCTCATTCCTTGCGAAGTCCATTTGAAGCAAGTGGCCCAGCTGTGTTGGACTTCCTGTGAGCCTTGAAACACATGCTCCCATATGCGGATGCAGATCATGTCCACACGGGGGCCGGGCGTACACTTGCCTGCGTGCTGTGTTCCTCCCCGGCACGCTGTCTCTTTTTGTGGAGGTCCATGACCAGGCACCAAAAACGTCCTGTAGACATGCCCTGTAGAAACACGCTGCCGGCCTGCCTGATGTCTGCTGCTCTCCAAGGTGGAGTTGGATGACAAGATGTTTGTGGTCGGAGTCGCAGCCGAAGTGGCCGCCAACGTTGCACCACTTTTGAACACCAATCTAGATCAAGTGGTAGAGGCCCAGCTGCTGCTCGCAGATTGTCCTTTTATTTTCTCATCGACTCATCGACTTCGAACAACGCAACCCGCCAGGTGATGGCGGCTGAATTCTTCTACTCCGCACCCATGCGCCGGCAGACCGCGGTGCCTTGGAGCAGAGTCTTTGACAACCAATAAGTGGCTGCAATATGGACAAATAGCGCAAAAAACGCTTGGGAAAACGATGTTTTTCGCTCTCTGCAAAACATGTTCTACAATGCTATTGAATATTGAAATGGCTTGCTATATCTTGCTATATATAACCATTGTGGTTGCTTGTTTTGTGGATGTGGATGGGGCAAAACACATGCACAACCCAAGTTTTTGAACATATCATTGTTTTTTAATTTTCCTGTATCCCCAGTTGCGTTTGACATTGTGTGGGCACTATATAAGCGATAGGAAGAGTTTGGAATTAACTTTCAAGAGGATAGTTCATTTTGAAGTGCGTTGTGGCCTGATGGCAGGTGATTCCCACATGGCAGATCACTGGGCATGGGCTTAGTTTCAGTTGTTGTAGTTTTTTAAAATATCTTTTCATAGCTTAGCTTTGCTTTTCTTAGACCTAAGGGATTTTTGAACGGAATGTTAAGGCTATATATATAACTCTTTCCTGCGAAGCACACAGCGGCTGGGGATGAAATGGGATAGAGAGAGAGAGAGAGACCTGATCAGGAACCACATCTAGGAACCAAATCATTAATGCGTGAACTATCCTGCGCCCTAGCTAGTAGCTTACTCCCATACTAAATCAATTAGGAGCGTGCGAAAAAATACAGAGAGAGAGAGAGAGAGACAGACTCTGCAGAGAAAGGGAGGGAGCACCAACTTGGGCCAAGCTTGCTTGATCGGGGAGGACAATGAAGAACACACAGAAACTGGCAAACGCTCTTGATTTGCAACCTTCAGGTCAGATAATTGCGGAGCCAACCGCACCATGTGAGGAAGGCATAGGCATGGGTGTGTCCTCAAAAATTGCGCCAAACCAAGCCATGTGCCATGGGGCAGATTGGTGTCCACATCAAGCAAGCTCTTTCGCTTGGCTGACACACCCATGCGTCGAAACCCTGGAAGGCACAAAATATGGTGCTCAGGAGTGGCTCTTTCCTGCCCTTTCTTGTCTAAGTCACCTAAGTCCTAAGAGTTCGATGCCAGTTGTGAGATCGTGGCGTTCCAGTTGGGGAGGGCCTGCCCAATGCCGGGTTGACAGTTGAGGCTGAAGTGGTTTTGCATCATGTTACATCATTGGTTGACACTTCTTAGATGAATCAACAGATGAATCACGATGTTGCCTCAGCCTGCTCCCCAGTTGGTACAACCAGGTGATTTGCCATGAAAGTTGTTGGAGTTCTCATGGCGTCATTCTGGCCACCACGATCACTGGCCTTCGGTGCTAGCAGCACTGCGCACCCAGTTGTGGCTGGAGTCACAATTGGGGCTCGTCTCACCGCAGAACTAGTTCATTGGCATTCCTCAACGGACTTGAGGGGAATTGTCCAAGGAGATGGTTGACAGGAAAGCATCCAGGATTCTAAGACGTAGGGAGACTATATAATCATCACTAATCACACCAACACCAAGTGGCAAAAGCACATCAAGCACACATAATTGATCAGTGTTTCGATCGATCTGTGCTACCGATAGATAATATACGTCGCGCTTGCACTGCCGTTTGTCCTGCGACCCTCCGAAGGGTGGGGACCCTGGCGGTTGGGCCGAAGTGAGCTAGTCAAAGGACCTGCGGGAAAAGAATGCATAATGCATAATGCATCTCTTGGATTTTGGTTTCAACTGTTCTTCTTAGACTTCTTAGTTTTGGCCTTGCTGCCTTCAATTATACAGCTAGCATGACACCCCCCTTGTACCTGACATGCTCACTGGCAATTTCCAACTGGGGGTCTGAGGAGACCTTGATCCCTTGCCATGCTCCCTACCTGATTGAGCTGGAATCAGCACCCTGCCAGGAACACCCCAGACCAGACAGATCTGATAGTTATAGTGACCATAGTGACCATAGTCGCTAGTGGCTGAACACCTGCACCGTTTTTCATCTCAGGCTGTTCCTCGTTCCTCGTTCAGGGTTGCTTCGTAGCCGTTGGCCACCAGTCGAAGTGCTGGCTGTTGTCGCCGAAGGGCGGATTTGAGGAGCCCGCGAACACACCCGGCAGAGAAAAGGGCGGCTGCGCGCTGCCACGGCACACACACACAGATAGATAGATAGATAGATAGATAGATAGATAGATAGATAGATAGATAGATAGATA